TGTAATATTCCAAAGTTTCGTTGCGAAATGTTGTAAAATGTGGATAATATAGCCATGCGAAGTTTGCCGTTTTTCAGTCATTTTGTATTACGCACGGGAAATTGACAGCCCAATCGGGTGTTGGGGCATCAATTTCCCGTTTGTAATACAAAATGACTGAAAATTGCAAAGTTCGCAAGGCTATATTATCCGCATTTTACAACATTTCGCAACGAAACTTTGGAATATTACTGATTTTGTGATGCTCTTTCAAGCTGTGATGAAATTTTTGTCTAGATCAAAATTTAGTCTATAATGCAAATGGTCCAATTTGTCGCTGCTAAAGCTCCCTATTAATCACATCTATGCGTACGACGTGAAATGTTTCAATTACATTATTTTCTTTTCAAACACACAAGATAATATGTTCATTGAGTGCAAAATTTAACTATATAGTATAGTCACAACGATAACTGTCTTTCACTTAAACGGATTTAAAAGCGAGCATCATGTGCTATATTGTTGTACTACCCAGTAAAACACGTCTATTTGGTGCACTGTCCTATTTCTTCAGATAAACTTACCATTATGTGCTAAATATTTAAAGCGAAAATTAATAATATAACCTGTGCTGTTCGATATTATTTTCATGGCAATGTTATGATGTCAATATATCAAAACTCGTGATCAGCATGCCATGGTCTTTTAGCCGCTTCATCTACAATAGCCAACGCTGTTTCTTCCATTTCGTCCAAGATGAGATTCAGGAAACGATATACAAACACTAGCGGTTTCTTAGTGATCATCATTTTTTTATACATTCTCATATTGAACGTGTTGTCACGATCAAACGACTTCAACCAATCCACACGATTCTGGTTAGGCTTCTGGTAAAATTTTTCCACTTTCTTCTGTAGCTCCTCGGTCAACATCTGAAATTCTTCGGAACCGTTGTCTGGAAACTCCAGTTGAATACTGTAGAATTCGAATTTTTTTCTAATCAACTTCCCATCAATGAAAAGGCAGAAAGGCCCTAAGCCAAACTTGCTCGCAACTGACGCAGCTGCAACCATCCATACTCTGTCTACAAAATAAACGTTTATGAGAAATGGGGCAATCGCAGGTTTAGGCGAACAAAGGTGGGCGAGTTCAGTGGGGGTGCCTAAAATAGCGTACAGGTAGATCAAGGTTGTTATCTATAGCACAACCTTCGAACAAAATGAAATTGACTTTCAAACAATTGACTTTCAAATAATGCTATTGTTAAGCCCGCAAGAATTGTGGGAATATTCGGACAAACTACACTTGTGACGACAATTGGAACACATGCTACTTAGTCGCTGGGGGCGACTGTAGGTTTTCCTCTTTCCTCAAATCCCCAAATGGGAATGAGCTAAAAATATTAGCTGGATGACAAACCTGATTTGTTATGCGAAAATCTAACGCTGGTCAAGGAACGCGATTAAATTTATGTTAAAATTCGAAGACTGACGAATAGAAGAGAAAAAGATGACGAAAAGGAAATGTGAATAAGTCCAAATTACAAATATCGTCAGTATACTGACGCTTTAAAATATGCAGTATGTTGCCTAGTTTCCGAACGTCAAAGTTGCTATATGCTATATATTAATTTTAGAGATTGGTAGAAGGTCAAAACTTTTACATGTACAGGTGGCAAGTACAATTGTCAGTTATCTTATTCAGAAAGATGAGCCGTTAGAATGATTTACTTCGCGATATCGAAAACGAGTACATTGAATTAGGCATTTTTACTATTGAGCATTTACTATTTATATATTAAAGAACTTTGAAAAGTCACAAGAATACCTTTGTTTAGCTATTAACTGAATGACGTCACTGCCATCTAATTAGTCAACCGCATTCGGCCCGCTTTTTGTTTGGCATCACATTCATTTACTTAAACCAGAGTAAGTCTCATTGATATTTCACTTGGTTGATATAAATTCAAAAATTTTAGAAGTCAATACACATACCTCTGAATATTTTAATACTTTCCCTCAAAATATCTTTTGAGCGAGTGGGCAGGGGAATGGTTAACGACTTGTTTTGCTTGGACGGCGACGGATTCAAGATTTCTTTTTTCAAACGATCAAAATCCCACTTATTTGGATCATAATTGCTAACCAGGAAAATCTTCCCTTCGCCATTGTTGAGGTTTCGCAAATTTTCAACACAATCATTCCTGATTTTTTTCAACGTCTTCTCCTCGTTGAATTTCTTCCCAAGCTTTCGTTTCTCAGATCGCGTGTCGTTATCGATCATCGTGCGAATGAAGACAAAAGATTTACCCAATGACTGAGCTTTCCTCGCTAACTGCAGATCGTTTTCTGTGAACCTCGTCGAGCAGATTATCAGAAAACGATCGTACTTTTCGATGGCAACTTTTTCACACAAAGTTGGAAGATCGGGGTAATTTGGTGTTCCGATGTTGGGTAGGTCCCAGAAACGGATGTTTGGATTGCTTGGATGCTCGTAGGGGGTTGGTATTGTTGTTGTCCCTATTACACCTGTTTTTGCTGCTACCTCGTCATCATCATCCACTCTGCATATAAATGAATTACACACGCTTTAATTACATACGATAATTAATCTTTCGTTGTCCGTATATGAACAAAGAATGCTCAATATCTATGTTGATGAGCGAAATGTACTTTAATCTTAAAATGAAATAAAGTAGCGATAACTTTATTTTTTATTTATCGTATTTGATCTAGTAATTCGACGTTTTCTGCGTGCACGTTCTGGAAATTATTAAATATCTCACTCGAGAACATTTTCTCCTTCGTTCTTCAACGAGAATGTTGAAATTCCACTAATTCGAACTGAATATTATATGAGAAGTTTTGTTTATTCTGGCGCAAAAGTATGGAACTCTTTTCCTGAGGTTTTGAAGAAAGCGGTTCAAGCACCTATTAAAAAATATCCGTTTTTCCGCTGATCATTAATTGAATTAATACATTGTAACTTATAATGTACGGCTTACAGGTAGAACAAAATTGTAATCATTTTGTAACCACCGCATTAAGATAAATTTTTTAATAATAACGGTAATAATAATAATGAAAACATTATTAAATGGATATTTAGCTTATATATACAATTGCAAATCTCACTTATATCAGGTAATTTACAACTGGCTACTTAAAATACTGATTATATATACAAAATAACTATTAAGATAACAATAAACAGTTAACAGTTTCGGATTAACAGTTTCAAATTAACAGTTAACAGTTTCGGATTCATCCATTCCTTGTTTTGACAACAAAATATATAATACGTCGTTCGGATTGCAATCGTCGTCATTCTTCTAATACAGTAATTCTGATGTTGTTTTTGAAAACCAAAATCAATAAGCATTTCTATGAAAGTAGAACATTCTTTACCGAAAACACCAAGAGAACTAATCGAAAGATTTATAAATTTTACTGAGTTGAAATGTTCATTTTGTTCCCTAATTAATTATTTATATTTTGATTGTTTACGTTCAACGTTTTTCTGAAGATTTGATTCGAAGCCAACTGTAAGTTCAACAATATAGAGTGTTCCGGTTGAGGTTGAAAGAAGCAAATCTGGACGGTAGGTGGCACCAGTGATGACTGATGGACTTTTGTACCCTGGAAGATCCACGTAAAGATGTGAGCCGCTCACGGTCTGCAGGTTTGTTGCGAGAAAGTTTCGAACGTGAATCGTTCTACACGTGAATCGTTCTGGATACGATTGACAACCAGCTACTACGTGCAGAAGTGTTTCAGGAGCTAGACATCGCGAACAGTCTGAAGTCGGTGATAAACCCCATCTTGCAAGGTTTTGGCGCGTTGGAAGGGAGTTACTGATGTATCGAACTGTAAAGTTGAATACATTTTTCGGGAGGTTCTATTGGCACGCAGACCAAGTTTTAGTGAGTTGGGAAAGTGAGAACTTTGTTATATTTGTGAAGAATAATAATAATGGAAACTTTATTACTTTCAATAATATATATACACACTACAATGATAAACCTCTCTTTACAGGTAGTTTACCAGTATCTACTTGAATTAACACTCTACATAATAACAATATTAGTATGACATTAGTTGTGGGTTATCCCATTCTTTGTTACGCTTACAGAATATATAATACGAGGACCTGATACATATATTAATAATTTTCCGAACATAGTACTTTCTACATTGTTCATCAAACTTTAGATCTTTCAGCATTTCGGTGAAATCTAGCGACGGGTGGCTGAAAACTCCTAATGAGCTAATCGATAAATTTACAAATTTCACTTTTTCATAATTTTTGAGCTGTTCGTTAATTAGATCTTGATATTTTTGTCTTTTTCGAGTTGCATTAGTGAGGAGATTAGATTCAAATCCGACGGTAAGATAATAATAATAATAATAATATATATTTTTTAATAATGGAAACTTTTTATTAGATATTTACGATATACTATACATACATTGATAAACCTCACTTAATAAAAGGTAGCTTATCGATGTCCACTTGAATTGAATATAAAGCTAAAATATATATACAGGTGAAAATCTTTTAAATTTAGTTAAAAGTTTAAAAGTTCTGGGTTGTTCCAGTCTTTGTTTCGTCTACAGAATATATAATACGACGTGCGAATACAAGTAGCAATTATTTTCTTTTTTACATATTTAATACATTGTTCGTCGTACTTCAGATCATGGAGCATATCAAATAAAGTATTCGTCGATTCACCAAATACACCTAAAGAGCTTATAGATACATTAACAAATTTAACTTCATCATATATATTTTCTTGATCGGTAATTAGAGTCAAATATTTTTCATGTGATCGATCTGAGTTAGTTTTCAGGTTTGTTTCGAATCCAACAGTTAATTCAAGAATGTACAAAATCTTATTTTCAATTGTCAATAGAAGGTCTGGTCGTAACTCGTCACCAGTGATGACAGATGGGCTAATAAATCCAGGCAGATCTACATACATTTTGGACCTTCCGACGTCGAGAAGGCTGGACGCAATGAGATTCAAAACTGAATCATGTCGCCATGTATATCTCCCTTCGTTTAGATATGTCTTACATCCAGAGATTACATGCAAAAGCGATTCAGGGCAGAAGCAGAACGAACAGTCAGCAGATGATGACAGACCCCATTTAACTAGGTTTTTCCTAGTAGGCAAAGAATTGTTGATGTAACGTAGACTGAAGTTAAATATGTTCTTAGGAAGTTTTGAATGAAAAGATGACCATAGGGAATTGAATGCCAACGTGGAGTTTTTCACGATGTTTGAGAAAAAAAGAACCTTGTGACATTAGGTTATTTTGTAGTCGCTGTTCGTTTTTTTGTCTAAATGCCTTCAATACATCTTTTGTGTTTGAGTAAATGTCCTACTGAATGTTCCTATTGGTGCTTGTTATTGACCATAATTCACGTATGTTTTCATTTATCGATGACTTTAAAGCTAAGCGTGAGACAGTTTGGCATTGTATAAACTTCGTTGAAGGTAGAATGACATTTAAACCAAATTTGTTGTAAGGGAGATAGACATTGCTTAGAGTTGCAGATATTGGCAGTTCGAGCCATTTTCGTATATATTTAGTATAGCAATACCGTCCAAAGTCTCGCAAACCCATGTTTGAGATATATCAGTTATTGTGAAGTCCCATGAGATTTTCGAGAGCAAGTAGCGACTGTATAGCAGAATTTTATTTCGGGGGTGCAAATGTAATTCATCTATTTTAGATATGATATTATTAAACAAGTCACATATATCCGATTGGTGTTTTTCATCTGACATGTTGAAATTAAAATAACGACCAAGGTAGCGGAAAGATTCACCAGTTTCGGTACGGGGTACAAGTAGGTGGTTAATAAACAATTTAGGTTGATATTGAACAGATTTAGATGAGTGTTTTTTAATACCGAACGTAGAGCACTTGTCAACACGTATAATCATATTGGCCCATTGACACCATACCGAGAAGCGATTGAGTAGGATTTGATTTTCTTTTTCTTGGCTACTAATGACAGCCGCGTCGTCTGCAAACTGGAACCAATGAATTCGATTACACGGAATACCAGCTTTATTAAATTTCCAAAAACCAAGCTGCAGGAATGATTCAGATTTAATGTGTTGTACGAAGGTATTAAAGGACATATTGAAAAGGAGTGGACTAAGGCAGTCACCTTGTAAAACGCCACGGCCGACGGTAATGAAAGGGGTACTGAATTTTTCAGTTATGATAGATGTTTGGAAGTTAGTATAAAGACTCCGGATTATTTCATTTATAAGATCGGGTATATGATGATATTGAAGAACTTTGTAAATAAGGTTGTGATGTAGTTCACCGAATGCATTCTTCAGATCGAGTAAAGTGATTACAAGTGACCTTTGTTTTATACGGGCTGTGTTGATTATGTGCGCCATATGGGCTGTATGTTCAACAGTTCCTGCAACGTTTGGAGTAAAACCTTTCTGGAAGTCATGTTCTATGTAATTGTTTTCAGATAGGAAAGCGAAAATTTTGTTACGAAGACACGACGTAAAAACTTTGAGCGGAACAGATTCTAGAGTAATAATAACAATATTTATTTGCCATATATATATATATATATATATATATATATATATATATATATATATATATATATATATATATATATATATATATATATATATATATATATACATACAATTAGAAACAAGAAAAAATAGGTACAAGAAGGAAGGAACTATAATTAATTGTATCGGATGGTGAGGAGACCTCCAGAAACCACCAGGCTTGTACAAGGGAGGCCACCTCTTGATGCAAGAAGATTATATAATAAGTAATATTATTATTGGATTATTGGATATAGGACTGAAATATAGATGTGCTTAACTTAGTAGCTGAGATAATTAATATAATAGATGCTCTAGCATTCTGTTCCTGAAACAACGAGGAGTAACTTGGTTAATAATATTTTTTGGTAATGAATTCCACAGTTTTGGTCCTTGAAATAGAATAGTGAACTGTTTAATATTTGTTCTGCAAGCGTGAGTTCGACAATCAGCCGCATGTCTTGCGTTATATATATGCATTTGACTACCTGTAGTAAATATCATGTGAAATAAAGATGGTAATAAATGGTTATGATATAGAAACATGAATTTAGCGGTATAAAATGTATTTTTTGGTAAATATCCAGTAATTTTAACTGCGAAAAGAGCGGTTTTGTATGTGCACGATAACATGCGTTTGTAATTGCCCGCACAGCGCGTTTTTGCATCAGAAGTAGCTTATTCAAGTTAGTGGAATAGGTAGAACCCCAGGCAATATTACAATAAGTTAGATAGGGATAGATTATAGTATAATACAACATTAACTTTGTATTGGTCGACAAACAAAAGCGAGATCGGTAAATTATTCCCACTGATTTAGAGATCTTTTTACAAATATAAGTAATATGTTCTGTCCATGATAAATTTTCATCAATAAATACTCCTAAGAATTTAACGACATGTACTTTTTTAAGTGCTTGACCATTAAAGGAAAGTGACAGATCAGTATTGATTCTTTTCTGTTTTGATTTGAAAACCACGTAATTGGTTTTCTTTATATTAACAGAGAGTTTGTTCGCCTTCATCCAACAGTCAAATTTCGACAATTCATTGTTTAAAGTATCATTCAATTGTTGAATGTTGGAATGAGAATAAAAAAGACTGGTATCATCTGCAAACAAAATAGTTTCAATTATATCTGAAACATTGGGCAGATCATTAATATAAAAGATAAAAAATAACGGTCCTAATATGGAACCTTGCGGCACACCACATTTGATAGTTTGTAGAGATGAGGAAACATTGGTATATTGTACAAATTGTTTGCGGTGAATAAAGCAACTTTTTATCCATTTTAGTGCCAGTCCCCGAATGCCATAATGCTCAAGTTTAGAAAATAAAATTTCATGATTTAAAGTATCAAATGCTTTAGATAAGTCTAAGAACACTCCAGCAGTGGCTTCATTGTGGTCAATTGCTGATGCTATATTGTTAATCAAGTGAACAAGAGCATGGCTGCATGGTCTGAAGTTAGCGGGATTGTCAGTTTCGTCTTTTTTGTGAATCAATATCGTGCACGCTTTTTTCCATTCTGATGGAACAATACCAGATGACCAGGCAACATGGATAATTTCAGTTAAATAAGTACGTAGATATGGGCAGCGTTTAAGACAGATATAGTCCGTATTCCCTGGCACCGAAAGTCGCTTAGAAACGATGAATTGAATTCACCCAACGCAACTAGTTTTCAATGCCAAAAATATGTAGATTTTTACTCACCAAGCACATTTCTGTTTGTTTACACTTCCAACACGTCCCAGTTTTTTAGCTACATGCGTTTGAATTTCGACAACGACGAGTCTTTAAAAAATTCGAAAGACGCCATTTTTGCCGACATTTCCATGGATACTTCATGTAACATATATTAAACAAACTCGTTTCAGGCCCTTCCCATCAATTTTGCGCAATTTAGTTGAAAAGGGGCTAGCTGTTTCATTACAATTTACTGCCTCTTTAATTAATGTGCATATGCGAAAATATAAGAAACAAAAGTATTTCTAGGAATATATATATATACTTTGCTAGATTATATACTTTGCTAGATTATAATTATGAATGAACCCAGTATTCAGTGAAGACCATGATTTCTGTATTAAGCCTCCCCGCTGGGGCTTATTTCTATCCAATCATCATTTGTCTGGAATTGGAGCTGCTCCAAATACCGTTTGATAAACTTTAACAAAAAATACTCACTACGGTTACATGTTTACATGAGTAAAGTATGCAGATTCGCGTTATTCAAGCAGGAAAAGTGCTCTGATGATCAACTACCGCCAACGTGCGACAGTTTGCGGCAACACATACGCCGTGCAAACTATCAAGCAGCTATTTGGCTCCAATCACTTGACGCAGAAATGGCTATTCCTCCAATTGATGAAAATGGGTGGAGTTTATATGATGGGGAGTTACATATCGTGTGGATGACCACTCCTCCTGCGCCAGATTCGCTGCTTGAGTGCATCAACTGTGGTTGCAAGACTGGTTGCAAAACCCAACGTTGTTCATGCATGAATGTTGCGTTACAATGTACAGATGTATGCACTTGTGTGGGCTGCACCAATGGAAAAGATAGTGACGAACTGTCAGAGGTAGAGTATGATATTGGGGACTGGCTAAACAGAGAGTTATGAAGTCGAGAGTTATCTCGGAGAGTTAAGATTTCGGAGAGTTATGTTCGAACCACGCCCACTTTTCCAAACGACCATACCCATTTTCTTAACTCTCTCGACGTTTCCTTGAACTAACATGAGAGAGTTATGTTTGACGTAACTCTCTCATGATTGTGGCAATGAAGAGAGTTATGTTAGTTTTTTGAAAAAAACTTTCACATATTAGTAAATTTTTTTAAATTTACTTTTTTCTTTAGTACTTACCAAGTTCATGTATATGTAAATGTTTATATACATGCTCACTTGGATTATATAGCAAGACCAGCATTCAGATACAGCTCTCGTATTAGATAGAACCAGAAAACCTTTCCAATGTAATGCCCTATTGGCTGATCTGGGAAAGTATTTCCAAAACCTGGATTGGTGAAAGATTCAATTTTCTTAATTTTCTTGCAACTATGCTTACCGTATTTACTGCCAAATACACGTCAAATCATGCTTCTTGGGGTACCTTTGAAATCAACTGTTGTTTCTAGATATCTGTATGTAACCTATATGTTAAAAGGGCCCGCAGTAATTGGTTTTAACTGTTGTGGTGTCCCCGCCATTTGTCACTTGTATCATTTTGTATTTGTGTTGTATGCATGTCATTCGTGTAATTTTACCTGGCGAAGTTGAATAAATAAATTATCAATTTTATAACTCTCCGCGTTCAGGATTACGGCAATGAATAGAATTAAGTCAGTTTTTTGAGAAAACCTTAGTAAAGCTTGTTTCTTCAGGTTTTCATCTTATACTTTGGTATTTCACTTTGTAGCGTGTCAATAGCGTGTGTCCAAACAGGAAATATAACTTGAGTCGGTCAAAACAATGAGATGCTTGCATCAGAAGGGTCAAAGGTACCCCCAGAAGCACGATTTGACGTGTATTTGGCAGTAAATACGGTAAGCATAGTTGCAAGAAAATTAAGAAAATTGAATCTTTCAGCAATCCAGGTTTTGGAAATACTTTCTCAGATCAGCCAATAGGGCATTACATTGGAAAGGTTTTCTGGTTCTATCTAATACGAGGGCTGTATCTGAATGCTGGTCTTGCTAGATAATCCAAGTGAGCATGTATATAAACATTTACATATAGATGAACTTGGTAAGTACTAAAGAAAAAAGTAAATTTACAAAAATTTACTAATATGTAAAGTTTTTTCCAAAAAACTGACATAACTCTCTTCATTGCCACAATCATGAGAAAGAGTTACGTCAAACATAACTCTCTCATGTTAGTTCAAGGAAACGTCGAGAGAGTTAAGAAAATGGGTGTGGTCGTTGGGAAAAGTGGGCGTGGT